CTTAGACTGAAGCAGGAATGTTATCATTAGAATGGAAAGCTAAACTAGACTAAGCTAAGGTACTTGCCTGAAGCAGGAATGAGAAGAAGGTTACTTCTTCGGTTCTGCTTCGGCTCAGTTTATATACAAGCAGGAATGGGTCATGTGAAGGTGCCATGTCAGCTTTGGACAGGGCCATTGTAGGAGGGCACAGCAAGTACCACACAAACAAGGCCAGAACCATGTTTTTCGAGGCTCCAACAAGCACCCTCAAGCCTCCGACACATTCACAATGCCCACAGGACATTTCCACATTTTTTCCAATTTTTTCCATGCTTTTTTCTCAAGACTCATATTGCCACTTCCCCAAATTTCATGGTTGTCTACCATTTTCCCCACATCTTCCCCAAATATCTACCAATTCACACGATTTTGAGCTTGATGGACAGCGACGGATCAGGAGAAGAGGATGGAATAACGGGACGGGAGTTAGGATGTGTTGATGAGCGACTTATGATCTCAGAGCTGGACTATGAGTAGGACTCAGTCTCAGCTAATATGCATGAAGAACTAATGATATTACCTATGAGTAGGACTAATGGTAATATACATATTATGAGTTACAATGATAAAGCAATAAGGGAATGTAGTAACTAACCTCAGTCTCAGCTAATATGTGTGAAGAACTGAGGGAAAAGGAAATGAATTCAAATGAATGAATATACCATGGACTGGCACGGGTTAGACTGAAATAATATAAAAGAGGTCTTGTGACTAAGTAGTCACATGGTGGATTCTGGGTGAGTTGCTCTCCCAGAATGTTCCCACGCTGAAGGAGGAGAACAGAAATCCTATAAAAGGCTGTTCTTTCTTCTGATACTTATATGTTAGTATTGGTACTTTAACTCAACCACTGTAGCGTTTTGGTTGCTTTGTGTATTGATATTTGTATGTGTTACTAATTGTTTGTGTGTGTATGTAACTCTCAGGGTTCAATTCACTTGTCTACCTGATTGTTCCACACGAAAATTGCGCTATAGACCTACTATTTTTAGTCGTTTCACCTCTGTCTTGTCACTTTTAACTCGGAGCGACTCCAACCGACTTGACTCAACGTCACTATTTCTTAACTTCTTCTTAACTTTTTACTGAGGGTTGATCACTTTTACTCAGATGTGATCTGAACTGCACACTTATACTAATAAAACTTAATTTTTATTAGGACACCTTATGACCTATGAGCCAGAGCACGTAGGGGAGAGGAGTAAAGAAGGAAGAGGGGTCAGACCAGAGAATGTGGTCTTTTATACCTTTCCTAAGGGCTCTGTTTTCACATGTCACATTACTATTTACATTGCTGAGTAATCTTATATTGAGCTTAGCAATCCTCTTATGTAAGCGATCAGCATCCCATTCTGCTTCTAGAACTTTCTGGAAGTTTTGGTGTGGGAATTAGCCAATTGCATTGCCTAACACCCATCATGACCTTGTTTACCCTTGTTTACTCACTTTATTCTAAGTCACATGTCATGGGGTTATTTGTTAGCTTAAGGGTGTAGCTTTCCGTCGGTATAAACAACAGTAAACTACGAGGATTATTTATGAAGATATGAATTTTTCAAGATTTAATTTTGAGGTTCTCCAGATTGCTTTGGCATTAGCTCATCCATTTTCTTACAATTAATTCTGGATAAATTATGCCTCGTTCCTGGACTCAAACTATTTAGTTTCGCATTTCTAGCTCATCCGTTTTAACCACAAACTCAGGATGTTTGAGCCAGTCTTCTCTGCAAGTGTGTTCTAATCTTGTTAAATCCATTTCTCCCTCAATTCTTCAGATTTTAACATGAAATCTTTTCGTACACAGACCTATACTTCAACTCTTTAAGACCGACAAAGATTCATATTTTTTCCTATTTTCCTCATATAAATATTTCCAATTCTTTCATCTTTTCCTCATACCCGACCATTTTTCATTATGTGAATTCCTTGATTTTCTTCCGATTTCTCTTTGTCATTCGTTTCGTACGTTCGTAAAACTATTTTCCCACGTTACCACGAATTTCTAATATTTTATTTGATACAGGAAACCTTGTTTTTGTTTTCATGTGAGTTTATTTGCTGTTTTTTCTTCATTTTCTGAACCATCTTTTAATCCCTAGACTTGAAAGTTCGCGTAGATACTCAATCCATCGACTCTGTTCTTCAGTATTTTTCCGATATTTTATTTCAATTCATTTTGTTGAGTTATGATTTTATTACTATTTTTATTTCTGGTCCGCGGAGGTTGTATGATTTTTATCTAATTGTTTCTGGTTGTTTTAGTGTTGTAACTTTTATATTCCTACAACGCCAACGCAGGAATGTGGCTGTTCAGGTTAGCTCCATTGGAGTACCCTCACAGCACATGGTTCCTCCAACAGGATGATGGATATGCGGTGGAGAAGTGAGATTGATTGTTATGGAAATGGGATTTTCCCATTTTTAGCCTCTTATGGGCTCTATGCAGTACAATATTATACAATAACAACTTAACCAACAACTATCACCAAAAACACCCAATGTCGATGTCCCTGTAAACCTCATTGTTACAACCTCTGCCATATTAACTGTAACACCATATTGATGTCATGGCCCTCTCCTGCACCTGAATGCTATAGAAATGGGCCAATTAGGCCCCATTTTTATAACATTGATGGTCAACATTGACTTCATGGGTTCATTTATTAATTTCATTGTCACCTTGTGTCCACCTCTTTTGCCTTATTGTTCTTTAGCTGAGCTGCTAACATTCTTCCTGTTTCCATTGCCACCATCTATCGCCTATTTCCTTGTTTTTTGTTCTGATTTCTCTTTTTTTCTATATATACATCCAGTTTGCATAGTACTTACAGTTGTTGGACCCCTCTTCTGTGCTACAAAGAATGTGGTGTTGAGCGATCCCTCCATATGTTAAAGAAGCCTCCTGACGACTGTCCAAGAAGGACCAGGAGTGAGTACAGATTTAGTGAGATTTATTGATTGTCTTCTAGCACCTGGACCATGGCACAGTATCGGCACTGTCACCACCATCCATCCATTCCCTCCTTCCGACCCGATTCAGACACTACCCCCAGGTCCCAACTCTCTTGCCTGGGCAGCCTTCTTGCCTGGTTACACCATGCTATCATGGGTGGCTCTGTGGGTGATCCTGAGTGCTTAGGGAAAAGAGGTACAAGTAGAGATGTGCAGTGCAGCACCATGCGGGGTACTCAGCATTGGATGCATCCATACTACATGTCATGACCCGGTGTTCCCCGGAGTCAGACGACCTCCTCCCTGACCTTCTCCCATGCCTGAACACTCCCCACACACTCCGTTCGCCGCCTGTCGCCATCTAACCACTCCCCACCACTTCTCCACTCCCCCTCTCCTAGTTGTTGAACGACCTACAGTGTAGGCAGGTTATTTTTGACACCTCATTTGCTTCCAGAAGGATTTCCCTTTCATGGCTCACAATTTGAGTCTAAACAACATTCCAACTATCAGAAAAGCATCACAAATGTACATTCTATTGGTCTATCAGACCACTTTTTCATAATTTAGGGTAATGAAAAATTTTCCTCCAAAGCAATGTCCACCTATGCCATCCTAATTAGGAAACTGTGCCCTAATAAGGTGGAAACCCTGTAAAAATTCACATGTGCCATAGAGCATGCATCTGATATGCCATTAACAAAGCTACATTGCTGTTTTAGCATAAGAAATTGAGAAAGGAAGGCAGTATTGTGCATTATGATACATACATATGTGAAAATCATGTGCTGCCAACCACCCTGAAAATGCCTGCCCCTAAGTGGGAAGTTCAAAACTGTGGAAAATCTGGTTTTAGACTCCTACAATCATGTCTCAACCTGCTGTTTCTTCCAAATAAACTGGGTGTTATATGGATGCATGAGTAAGCTGTCATCATAGTACCTTTTGATTGTTCATTGCTGTATAGAAAAGGTCTAACTGGCATACAAGCTGAGCAGTTGGGAAGTACCCAGATGCATCAAAACAACTCTCTTTGAGTGAGCACACTTGAGTACCTTCTGGGAAGGGAAATTCTGGTCAAAAAAATAATGTCCGCTGGTCAATTTTTTGAAAACCCTCTAGAAAATTGTAGAATACATTGGTTTCATAGTAGGATTTTAATCTGATGCCAAGTTGAATAGTAAAATTTTGCGCTATGGAGGTGCTGTGAATAACTTGCCTACACTGTAGGGGAAAACTCGAGGTAACACTAAGTAATCTTCAATTTCTTGTCATAGTGGATTTCCCTAAGGGCCTCTGTTGCCCTTACCAGTCGAGTGGCTGCTCACAACACACTAAGTTCACAGACTTCAAAAATGGAGGGAGAGGGGGAATCGTCTATTCCGTTTCAATCACTACATACATATACCTATACACCAGACATACAACTTATGAAAAGAGTCCAAAATATATGGGTTTGGCTGAGCTAAGCCTCCACCAACAACGGCGGTAAGGTTCGGCTGCTGTTGGCTTAGAATAAAATTCCAAACAACAAAAGAAAATGAAAAGAAAAACACAAACTTCCTCATACCACTCCAAACACTGCGTCAAAACTCCGTCCCTTTATTCCATTCGACTCTCCTCATCCATAGCTTTCTAACAATACCGATTTTGTGAAATTTGGTTTTTGGCAATTCAACATGCATTGGAAAGCGTCTGAGTAGCGCTTCATGATTGTTCGGATGGTGCAGCAATATGAGAAGATTTTTTTCTTGCCAATTTGCACATGAATGATGGAATAGTATTGTGATTTGAGTGCAACGTTGTGTGCACATGTCCTTTATTTAGAGCTTTCTGATATCACAACATTAATATTAGATTATGGAGGCAATGGACATGACATTAGCACTGGGGATGAGTCTGAAGTACAGCCACCAAAATGCACGACAAATTGGTAAATCATCTGAGTTCGGATTCTCACAACTGTACAGTTCCACCTCTCTTCTTACTCCCATCTACATGTCCACATGGTCACAACAAGAGGAATGCGACAGGCAGTGGATGTGCCACCACTGAGCGAATCTGATCCCACCGCCACTCATGCAGTAGTGACTGTGGCTAAGCCCATGGTGAATCAGAAACAATGTGGTAGGCATCAAAAAGTGGCTTCAGAAATGCCACCGCCTGAGATCGTCAACCCCCTTCCTGTGGGCCTGGCAGTTGAGGAACCAGAGGAACCAAGTGAGCCCCAGGTTGTTTCCTCAGTTCCTGCCCTTGTTTTCCCCATTCTTGCCCCCATTTCTCCTATTCTCACCTCTGCCACTGACCCTCCTGTCATGAGGAAGACCAGAAAGTTGCACACTAAAGCCAAGGCAATTGAGGCTGACCAAACAGAGCAGATCAGCATTCCAGAGTACACAATAATGCGTGAATAATTCAAGAAATGCCCAAGGCACCCAGTGGTCCTGCCACTTTGGGCACAGTTAACCCAAAAGAAATTATAAATGTCAAGCACAAGAACAAAAAGCTGCAAGTTGCAGCAAAAGTTTCCACAGTCATTCCTGACTCCGACTATGCGATGATGAATGAACTTGAAGATCTGTCTAGTGATGAATCTGAGATCACTGGTGCACTGGGTGCAGACGATGCTCCAGTGCTAGTCCAAGAGGAGGCAGTTGAAGGTGAGTGCCAACTCTCATTCCTCACCCCGCTGAGACTGGTGTCATTTGTGTTTACCTACTCCTATAGACTACATTATAGACTTCAAAGTTGAGACTAATGATGTCATCAAACTTCTTTGACTACCCATATCTATGTCATGGGGGACATTCCAGGATCAGATTGCCACGACAATGGGCTGCCATGAGACCTGGCTACGCTTGGGCTAATAGGCTCAGCACTGCAAGAGTGGGAGAGATGGCACACAGCCTTGAGACACTGGACAAGTATTCTGAAATGCAACAAGAAATAGTCTCGGAATGCGAGAAATGGGTGGTCCTCCAGAAAAAGGCATCCAAGATGAAGCCTCCAAAGGTGTTGAAAGTATTGATCAAGGACAGGCAAAATAAGGCTGAAAAAAAGGTGTGAGAGTAGATAGATGTTCAAGAATCTCATAATGCTAATGCTAACGATTTTATAAGACCATCACAAAACCAAAAACTGCCTCAAAAACTTCTTGTGTGTCAGGGCACACACCCTGACTAGCCCGGACCCAGACCTGCATGTGTGCTCTGCCCCGCATGCTCCACGTGCTGCATGCTCTGCGTGCCGCATGCTCTGGGCCCGGTTCCCATTTCTCATGCGACTTCCGGGTACCCCCAGAAGTTTTCACCATAGTGGGCCACTGTGGGAAAGTGAGAAGTTAACCTTCTTCTCACTTTCTTACCCACAGTAGGCAAGTGTATCTTACTTGCCTTTCTATCTTATTCCATCTTCTTACCCACAGTAGGTTGTGCCCTGGATAGGGCTGGTTACACCATAGGGCTGTGGACCATAGGGGAGGGTCATGGGGACCTGGGAGTCATCCCCTGACATTGTGCTAAGCTCAATAATAGTGCTGGTCCAGACTTGGTTGGGTCCACATCAGCAATGTATATGCGGCAACTCACAAATAAATATGGCAACTGTAATCAACATGGAGGGGAATCCTGTTTTGTCCAGCCTGATGGGATTCATTGGCACTTGACCATTGCAGAGCTCACTTTGTGGGCAATTTCCATTGTAAGTCTGATATTGGTTTGCTTGCTATGTAAAACTTATGACTACATAGGAATTGCACTGTGCAACCCTCTCAGTTCCTCCTGACTTGCTCAAACTTTCAAGTGAGAATGATACTCATCCGCCCAAACCCAGCAAGTCTAAACAAACACCTGGTGCAACATCTGGTTATCCTCCACCACCAATTCCAGGTGCCATGTGGCCATATCCCACAGGATTTGCGCCATTCAATACTGCCATGCCTCAGGCATATGCAAGTCACGATGCAGGTGTAAATCCTGGTGCAATTCCAATCCGTCAGTTCGCATTTTAGGATGATCTCATGTGTTGCTCACTGTTGCTTCTGTTTATAGTGCCAAATTTACGCTACGTGTCAATTGAAAGACTCCTTGAAGTGCTTGATGAAGAAGAATTGCCACCAAAATCTCACCTCGTGATGAAGTACAAAGAGCAGTTTGCATCACATGGCTTTTGCACCATCTATGATTTGACTGATACCAATTATCTCAGCCCCAAAGTACTCAGTGAACTCCTTGAGCCTAAACCCCCCTTCATGACCTGTGTATGCATTATAAGGCATGCGAAGGATGAAGTACAACACACTCAAGATGCTTATCTGTCTGGCGATAGGTCGGTTCTCATCTAGTACTTGATTTCACAACCGCTTCACACCCTTGGTTCCCCATTCACACTCTTTTCCCATGCAAATATATACCTTTCATGTAAATACCTTGCATTTCTCATTTAGTTCATGCTCCCCAGGTGGTAGGTAATTATGACTGATCACATGTTACAAGCCATGCCTGCACACTGTCACAAGCAAAGGGACATCCCGGAGCCACAACTCCACACCACCTCAGCCATCATCCTCCATTTCACATCATGTATCACACAGGCCCTGATGGGATGGGTGATAGCCTTCATGGCCATGAGTTTGGAGATGCCACACAGGCAGGTTCATCAATAGCCCATGCCCACTCATCCTCCATAGCATCGACCAGCTCCCATCACCACTTGAAAGGCTACCAGACCCCATCCTCTTCATCGCTAAACCTAACTAGCCATTTTATGCTGTGAAACTGGTCTCATACCCCAGATCCTCTTCCCTTAGCCACATCACCCACCTTGTCAACGTTTTCAAGTCCGTCTCACATGGCAGTTAGTGTCAGGGACTCATCCAGGGTCGAGGAGGCCCGGGTGTAGCGTCCGGCACTGAGAGCCTGGCAGGGGGCTGTCAGGGATGTGTCCAGGGTTGGGGCCCAGATGTAATGCCCAGCACTGGGGCCTTCACGGGGTGTGGAGTGGGCATGCATACTGATGGGCCCGATGTGGATGATGGTCCCTGGCCACTTAGACTGAAGTGGGAATAGTGAGAAGAAGGTTACTTCTTTGGTTCCCACTCCAGGTACATTTATGTACATGCGGCTTGGGTCACATGAGGTTGCCACATCACTCTGCATACAGCTGCAGTCACCTGGGTGTCCCCATGGGGGATCCTGAGGGTGTGTGCTGCACGCACATGTGCTGGGTTGCACTGTGAAGCCATCCAGGTCATCCAGGGCTGGGTGTGTCATGCACACATCATGGGTGGGTCAATGATACATAGAATGGAGAAAGGTCATCTGTGAATAAAAGGAAAGAAGAATGAGAAATGGAGAATGGTGATGGAGGGTGGGGAATAGAGATAAGTGGGATACTGGGTGAGGGTGGGTGGAGCCAGGTCAGGTGGGTGTGCCCTGACAGGGGTGGATCAGGCATGCATACTGACAGGCCTGATGTGGGACAATGGTCCCTGGCCACTTAGACTGAAGTGGAAAGATGAGAAGAAGGCTACTTCTTCGGTTCCCACTTCAGGTATGTTTATATACATGCGGCTTGGGTCACATGATGGATGCCATGTCACCCTTGCACACAGCTGTAACCACCCAGGTGTCTCCATGGGAGATCCTGAGGGCATCCAGTGCAAGCATGCATGCTGGGCACAGCAGGAAGTTGCCTGAGGTGCCTGGGCCAGGTGTGTTGTGGGCGCTGTAGGAGGGCACAGCAAGTACCACACAAACAAGGCCAGAAATGCGTTTTTCGAGGCTCCAACGAGCACCCTCAAGCATACAACACAATCCCAACGCCCACGACACATTTTAACATTTTTTCCAATTTTTTCCATGCTTTTTTTGCAAGACTCATATTGCCACTTCCCCAAAATCCATGGTTATCTACCATTTTCCCCATATCTTCCCCAAATCTCTACCAATTCACATGACTTTGAGCTTGATGGACAGCGACGGATCAGGAGAAGAGGATGAAATGACAGGACGGGAGTTAGGGGGGCAGATACGCGGTGGAGAGGCGAGATTAATGGTTGATATTGACCTTATGGGCCTCAATTATTGATTTTATTGTTACCTTATTGTTTCTTGGCCGAGTTCTCAACATTCTTCCTGTTTCCATTGCCACCATCAATCGGCTATTTTCCTTGTTTTTTGTTCTGATTTCTCTTTTTTTCTATATATACACCCAGTTTGCATTGTACTTACAGTTGTTGGACCCCTCTTCTGTGCTACAAAGAATGTGGTGTTGAGCGATCCCTCCATACGTTAAAGAAGCCTCCTGACGACTGTCCAAGAAGGACCAGGAGTGAGTACAGATTTAGTGAGATTTTATTGATTGATTGTCTAGCACCTGGACCACAGCGCAGTATCAGCACTGTCACCACCAACCATCCTTTCCCCCTTTCTGACCCTACTCAGACACTACCCCCAGGTCCCTACTCTCTTGCCTGGGCAGCTCTCTTGCCCGGTTACAGCATGCTGCAAATGGGTCAATGGTACATTGGTACAAAGAAAGGTCGTCCATGTAAAATAAAGAGAAAATAAAGAGGAAGTAAAATGGGAAGAAAGTGAGGAAGCAGGAATGAGGAGAGGGAAAGGAAAAGAGGGAGGAGGTGAGGAGGGGTGGACAGCTGGGTACTGTCACAACCCGGCATATCCGTCACTTCCGTCAATGCATCCTAGTGCCACTTGGCCCATCCCACCTGCTACCATCATCATCCGTCCATCCATCCACCCACCAGCCAGATGGCTTGCTAGATGGCTGGATGGCCTTTTCTCTTTTGTTCGCTTGCAGACTATTGTTCCTCCTTTGCCACTCGTTGTTTCTTGCTTGCCTTTTGTTGACCAAGTTTGCCAATATTAACCATTTGTCTATGTCTTCATTCATAATATCATGCTTGATCTGCCACTCCTTCCAGGCTGGTCCTATTTAGTTAGTTGTGCTTATAATGCATGTAGGTTACACCGGATGTACCTGAGTTCATATATCGACTTGGATTTCCCCCCTTGTCTCTTTGTAAGGCTCCTGTCTGAAATTGGGACAACAACGTAAGAACAAAGCGCAGCGCTCCACCTGAGTCGCTGAAGCTGAAGTCCCACCCCTCCGACCTTACAAGCCCAGATGACTTTGCGCACCTTGCGGACCATCCAGATACACATCCGACCTTCCTTGAGGCAGGATCCTCTTCAGTATGGTCCCATGCTTTCTCTTCAACATCTCACTCCCCCTTAGGGTTTTCATCCATGGGGCTGGGAGACTGAGGTACTGGCTTGATGTTAGCAGGTGCATCATTGGGGTCTCTGGGGATCACAGCAGGTGGTTGGAATTCGGGTGCAGCACCAAAGAACTTCTTGATGGAGTCTTTGTCTATGTCCCTAACCCAACGGGTCCGCTCATCAGTCTTGATGACCTTCTCCATGAAATCCCTTGCAAGTGGAATCTTTGGCACTGGTACTATGGCTACGGGCATCTCACTTGGTCTAGTGAGACTATCAGCAGGTGGTGCAACCTTCTGGACAGGTGGCACCATGGGAGTTGACCCTAGGAATGGCAACGCCATTCTTCTAGGTGCTGTCTTGTTGTCTACTAGCACCATGGACTGGTCTAACTTGGCTTGGAGCTCACATATAGCACGCTCACTATCTGTCTCTTGCTGCTGGATGGGGGATTGTCGGAAGGTGTGTCTACCTTCTTGAAGTTTTTCACAGCTAGGTTCTGGTGGGCAGCATCAATAGTGTTCTCGATTCCTACAGCAATGTGTGTGTGGCGCATTTGGGTTTCTGTAGCCCATGGAGCACTCAAAGGGAGGCAGGGGGTAGTAGTTGATCTCGCATTGTGTTATTTTCAAGGGGGTTTTGTCATTAGTTGGGCCGCTGGTCTCAGTGGCAGGAGTGGCAACAAGCATGGGGCTTTTGTTTGAGTGTATAACCTCAATAGTCGGCCCACCCAATAATAACTTGACTTCTAACTTATGCTCAGGATCACTTCACATGGAATAAGAATTTTGAAGAATATAAGAGCCCTTCCCACCCCAGGGTAGCCAACAAAACAGGTCAGGGGGGAAAGTCTTCAGGTCACCATCTTCCTTAAGCTGAGTGGCATGGTGGAAATCCCAAAATTGCATGTCCTCATCAATGAACTTCTCAAATTCATGTTTGTGTTGGAACCTTAGGTCTGGATTCTCAGCTCTGGCATGCATGCGCTCGTATTTCTCCTGCCAATACTCAGCTAGCTTCTTGCCCTCGAGTTCCCAGGGCTTGGGTGGCGTCAGGTGCCTAGACTTAGTGGTGTAGGATGCACAATTTGCCTCATTGTCTGGTTCCTCATAACCTGTGGAAGACTTAATGGGTTCTCAGATTATTGGCTCTTCGCTATTTCTAAGATGGCATGAATTGGCTCGTTTCCATGCCACTGGATGTTTGAGGACCATCCCATCTAATTCTTGCAACACAAGGGCGCCACTGCAAAGCCTCTTGTCTACCATATGCAGTCTGAACCATCGCAGCTGGCTTGGAGGGAATTCCAAATCTGAATTCTCAACCTGATTGTCATAACTGTTGGAGCTAAGCTCTTGGGATTGGCATAAATAATCCTCATGGCTCCCACTGGAGCGTTTGTGGCTTTCTGGCAGGTGTGTGACTTCAATGACTTCGGCATGGACAATGGGCTTCTCTTTAGCAGTCAAGATGTTAACCAGGAGACAGATTTCAAGTCCAGTGAAAGACTTCGGCGCAATGCGAGCTATCATCGCTGCCTCCGTTGATTCAGGCTTGACAATGGTGCATCCAGTCTCTGAGTTCTGAGCGATCACAGGCGATGACTCTGCAACAATGGGCTCATGATGCATGCATGGGAAATCTTGTGCTGCAGCCAATCCCTTAGCGGTACCAACGTGCTCGACAATTCCCATGGAATTCAGACCAGACAGTGCCAAGGGACCTGCAGCAGCTCTTGAATCCTCAGCATGGGCTGCTTCCCGTCCTTCTAGAACATAGTCAAGGCTGTCAGGCCTTGGCTCTTTAAGCTTTTGCTCTGGTAGTGCAGTCAAGGATGTCACTCAGGTTGCCAGCTCAGGGCAATTTGAGGTGTATACGAGACCAGAATCGTGCATGGGGAATGGAAAGCATTCCATCTCAGTCAATGTTTCCTTAGCTGAGTCCAAGCCCGGTCCCTTGACTATGCCAATATAATTCGTGAATCTGGGTGCCTTGGAAGGTATCCTAAGGACTTCTAGATCTTCCATGTTACAGTCCACTAGTACATGATCGAGGCCATCAGGCCTTAGCTCTTTAAGTTCTGTCTGTGGTGTGGTGAATGTCGAAGGAATGCAGCTTGGGAATTGTGGTGACTCTGATGTCTGGGGATCTGACCCAGATCTCACAGTACTAATGTCGTATGTGGTGGTGGCAGCTCTCGCATAACAACGAGCTTGAACAGGATAAACATTTCACGGGGCACTCATAATCAGAAGTTTGATGTGGACGGATGCTCTGCTACTCGGTTTCCCTCATTCCAGACTTGAATTACCATCCCTACATTGTGCATATACTCGATCTTAGTAGAGTGGCTGAAGAGCCACGGTTGACCTAGTATCATATCCTTTCCATGAGGGGTATCTCATGTAAGAAAGAAGTTATGGGTAACTTCAATTCCCCTGATGGTAATGGGTATGTCTCTACATAGACCTTCTAAGGTGACTTGGTGTCCAGATACACCACAAAGAGTCCACATGGCGCCAGTAGGGTCGACTGGGAGTTCTAGAGCATAAGCTTGCTCGCTTGTCATGATGTTGAGCTCGCTGCTGGTGTCAATTAGCATATTGCATGGGTGGTTGCTAATCTGTCCTTGAATCTTGGCGGTTACCATAGCCAAAAATGAGGGTTTCTTAGATGTAGTACTGGCGCCAAGATAAGGGTGCCCAAATTCGCGTATGTGCTCAGATTCCAAGAGCTGCCGATAGTAATTCTTGGCTTGGTCAACTGTGCCGATGGACCAAGTGCTACTACTGTCATTGCCTTGGGACTCAAGGCCAAAGCTCTCAAATACCACCTGGCTAGAGCTAGGATCTTGCGTGAGTGGCGAAGGATCGTCTACTTGAGTCTCAATAATCCTTGGTGGCTGCCGGCTTTTGATTTTTTGGATATACTCCCAATCAGAATCATAATCCTTGTCAAGTGCACAGGGAGTGTCATTGCTGGAATGAGAGTCCAAATCGTGCCTCTCATGCAGGGTCTCGTCAAATTTCTCAGCATCAGGGCACAGAACTGGTTCAGGGGTGCTATGTGCCACTTGATGGGAATCCTTGTCGTCAAAATGGTCATAGATATCCATGACTTGGAGGGCCAAGTTGAAGAGGTCCTCATCCTCGAGACATGCTTTAAGGTCAAAGGTTTCAAAGGGTTTCTCAGAATTATCCTCGTTTTTGTTGAGGCGCAGATCCAAATCGGGGTATTTGTGATCATCCTCAGGTTCATCCTTGGCATTGAAATACGAATCTAGATCAAAAACATCATAAACTGTCTCGCTGGGGACTGGCTCGTCCTCTACTGGCATTAGTACACTATCTACACCAGCTTCTAGGTTATGAACTTCGTAGATGGGCTGGCTATCGTCTGTGTCAGAGACCTGGTTGAGACGAAGGAGTGTCTCCATGGTGGAGGGCTTTGGCCTCAGCGACTTGTGCCAGGAGTGCTGTGCCAAGTAACACATCCGTGCCCTAACTTACTAAACTGGCAACCAGAACTGAAGAGGGTAAACTCTAGTCGATTTTATTACTGGAGTGTAACCTATGTACAAGTTAAGTATATATAGTTACAGCGAGGGCAGGTCTGCAAATGGCGGAGCCGAGTGGAGCGGAGCTAACAGGGTTAGACATTAGCCGATTGAATATTACCGATGAGTCAGGTTACGGGGTTAACGGAAAGGCAGGCGATAACCCAGAAACAGAAAGGAGGGATAGGCCCGAAGGTGGGCTTTGCAGGGCAAGTGAGTGTATTGTCCAGCGGAGGTGGGAGTGTGCTAGCGGACATCGGAGCTGTCCGGAAGCCTTCGGGGCTCCGTACTTAGGGAGGCGTAGGTAATAAATTGAAAGGAGGGGGTGGTGACCATCGAGGGGTACCAAGGGGATTGCGGAATACAGGAGCTCTGAGGTTAGTGAAGAAGGAGCGGAAGTAGACCGGAGGGATCGGAGGGATCGGAAGTCGATGGCTGGGGATGGATATGACAGTCTGAGGCATAGTTGACAGGTGCAGTGTACTGCAGACTCGCAGTACTGGACTTCTTATTCAATGGGATCCTCTGAACCTTTGTCGCTGTCTGCATGCGCTTGTTGAGCTTGAAAGAGGATCCACCCAGCGGCAGCGTCACATTCTGTGCCATGAGTTGCTCAAATGCAGACTCGGTGTTTAACTTATCCTGCAGCTTGGATGCAAACTTATAAGCGGGTACAGTTCTTCTGGCAGGTGGTGCCTTTGCATTAGGGGCAGGGCCTTCTTCAAAGGTGACCTTAGCTCGTGGGCCACTCATTCCTGAGGAGCCAGCTGTATTGATGGGTGGCTGGCATGGATATTGTCATATCCATACAATCCCGACCCCTGCTCCGGGCTCCCGGAACTCCGAACCTGACTTCCAGAGTCCTACCCTACCACTGTCCATTCCGATATTCACCTTCGGACCTGACACCACACCTCCCCTCACCCCTCATGCCACTTCCACTCTCCTGTCCTTCTCCTACCCTATCTCCGTCTGCTCCGATACTCATCTCAGACCGAACATCACCCCTTCCTGTCACCTCCTCCTTGCCGACTTCCAAGAGGTTACCCCACCTCCGGCTCCAACACCACCTTCGGTCCGACTCTGGAACATTCCAGGTCCGACCTCAACCTCGACACCTTCCAGACAAGTATGCAACACCTATGCTCCTGACTCCGGACCTCCACTCCGGAATCCCATTTGCATCTCCATCTCCGGAACCTCCGGTCTTAGCTCTGACCTCGGACTTTGACCCCACCTCCGCTTATACCCATTTTATTGGTTAGTTCATTCCATTTAATTACGTTTGCCAATATTCCGGAGTTTAACTTCCGAGTTCGGACTTTCCGGACTTACATCGGACCTTGCAACTATTGCATTGCTCCATTCAGTTCCGCTATACTCCCTCATTCCTATTTGGGCTGCTGCTTCCTTTCTATTCAGTCAGCTAGCCATTCCCCACTCCCATCCTCCCTCCTTCCTCCTTGGGCCTTGGCCCTTCACTCCTCCTTTGGGAAACACCATTGAGTCAAACCCTTGACCCTCGGTGTTGTCCCTCCTTTCAGCTCCCTTTGTCTCCTTTTGGAGTACCCTTGCTCCTTTTGATTCCGGACCCCTCCTTATATACAATGTACATAGTAACTTGTAACCTCAGTCCAAAATCGACCTGAAATGCCCCCAAGAGACTTTCCCTCTGCTAGATCCGAAATTAGGGACCCCCAGGACAACCAGCAATGGCACAGCACTCCACCTGAGTCGCTGAGGCTGAGGTCCTTCCATGCTAAGTCTTCGATTCCACTCCAGAGTCGTCCAAATCTGCCTGTTCTAACAGATATGCCCTCTGCTTCCCTTCGTCTTGGGGTACAGGTTCAGCGCTGACCATAGGAATGTCTTGTGGCTGGGGCTGTTTGAGGATAACGGGTGGTTGAGGAAGTTCAACGTATGTGTGGTTGGGTGGCATCCCCAATTCCTCAGATGGAATGGTCCACCTAATGGGAAGTAGCAGCCCTGGGCTAGGGGCCCGATCGTACGGCTTGGCTCTGGATGTCTTAGTCTTGTCTGCATCAGTCCTCTCTGCTGGGTATGCTTCCGCAGGTAAGACTTCAAACTCACTGTCACCTAAGACAGCAAATTCTTGATGGGCTTGCTCATAGTTGCGCGTCCATTCTAGAGTTGCAGCACTAGTACGCATGTTAGCACATTCACGGATTAATTGGGCTGCTCCCCCTCCATTGGGGTTGCATGGTAAATAAGAATCATCAGCCATGATCAGTCTGTTAGATGCATCGAGTCTGAGTACTCCGGCAGCAATGAAGGCTTTAGTCTCAGCACAATCCTTGGCTTGATGACCGAGTCCATCGCACATGAAGCAGCAATCATGAGGGGGCCGAGTGTTGCGAGTCCTGTCTGTGAGGCAGGCCATTGCAATAGTTAGCCTGTTCATATGGTCTTCAAGGTCTTCCATGTTGGATTTGAAGTTCGGATTCTGGGGTACTTCCACTTTGGCCTCGACGGCCTTGGTGTCTTCGCTGGGTTCAGTGGTTCTGTACTTGGTTTTCTTCATCGTCTTCTTGCTGGGTGGCTTGGCTAGTTTCCGACGCGACGAGGTTGGGGGTTCTGGCTCAGCCTCAGTTGCCTCATTATCTGAATCGTTGCCATTGGAATCATTGCTGTCTTCTGGGGAACTCTTGGGGGAATACTCGCTTGCGGAGTCTGAGTTGCCATCAGAGTCATCTACATGGTACAGGTCATGCTGCAAGAGCTCCTTGACCGTAGTGACGACATGATCCATAGGGGGAGTGTGGGTTAGGTTGGTCCAACGGTTGTGGGCCTTCAATTCTTGCTTGACCCTTTTGCGGAACACAGGGGACTTGATCCCTCGATAGAAATAATCGTCCTTGTCACCAGCATTGAGTGTGTGCATTTGCTCAAGTGATTTGGTGATAACCTAGAACTGTCTGCAGTAATCATCAAAGTGTTTGCGGTGCTTAAGCTTGTGCTTCTTTTCTACGAATTTTCTGAGATCTTTGGGGCGGTAAATGCAGTCTTCATGTTCAGTGGGGTAAAAGTTGAGGAGGTCTTGCTTCAACACATCCCAATCTTTGTTCTGGAGGCTGTCAAGAGTGCGAATAAATTTTGCTTCCTTCTCTGTGCAGTAGGAGACAATGTAGTCGCATTTTTGGTGGTTGGTAAGATTCACGGAGTTAGCTTGAAGTTCAAAATCGTGGAGAAACTTCTTCAGCTTGGTTCCCTTGAACCTGGGGGCTTCCCTGGAGCGGTCACTGGGCATATGGCTGACTGTAGTAGTGTGGATTGTGGGGATGGGGTTGCCAGCGGGGCCAGCAGTGGGAATGGCATGAGATGTGTGAGACATCTTGCATGTATATAGTAACTTGGGTTGTAATCGAATAAAAGTTGTTCTGACTGCATGTGCGAGCGCTATGTCCGTCTACATGAGGTTTTGGAATGGGTATGGAAGTTGGGGGAAATGGAGAGGTGAAAACACTGTTGAAATCTGTCAGGGCACACCCACCTGACCTGGGTCCACCTGGACCCACCCAGCCACACCTCACCCGCTGCCCCACTGCCCCGCTGCCCATCCCTCTCCTTCCTCCCTCCTCCTTCTTTGTTTCTTCCTTTTCTCTCCTCCTTCTCTTTTCTTTATTATTCCTTCCCATCATTCTCTTCCTGTTTATTCCTTCTATCTACACAGACCACTTTCCTTTGTATCAATGTACTGTTGACCTGTCCGGCCCAGACACCCTGGACAGCTTCCCACTGTGCCCAGCATGTGTGCCTGCAGTGGATGCTCTCAGGATCCCCCACAGGGACACCTGGATGGCCACAGCTGTCTCCGAAGATGATGTGGCACCTGTCATGTGACTCAAGCTGCATGTACATAAATGTACCTGAAGTGGGAACTGAAGAAGTAACCTTCTTCTCACCTTTTCCACTTCAGGTATTAATAACAATCCACCTTTTCCACTTCAGTATAAGTGGCCAGGGACTGCTGTCCCGCATCAGGCCTGCCAGCACACATGCCCACTTCGCACCCCAAGAGGGTCTGTCAGGGATGCGTCCGGGGTAGAGGGGGCCCAGGTGAGATGCCCGACACTAGAAGTCTCGCGGGGTGCGGAGCAGGTGTGCATACTGGTGGGCCCGGCTCAGGAGACAGTCCCTGGCCACTTAGACTGAAGTGGAAAAGGGTGTTATTATTATTAAAAGGGGAATGCTATGCTACTTACCTGAAGTGGAAAAGGGTGAGAAGAAGGCTACTTCTTTGGTTCCCACTTCAGGTATGTTTATATACATGCGGCTTGAGTCACATGACAGGTGCCACGTCATCCTCACATACAGCTGTAGTCACCCGGGTGTCCCTGTGGGGGATCCCAAGGGCGTCCGCTGTGAACGTGCGAGCTGGGCATAGCAGGGGGTCGCCTGAGGCGCCCGGGCTGGGCATGTCGTGAGCATGCTGTCATATCCATACAATCCCGACCTCCGCTCCAAGCTCCCGGAACCCCGAAACGAACTCTGGAGCCCTACTTCCCTTCCATCACCTTCTCCTTGCCGACTCCCAAGAGGTTATCCCACCTCCAGCTCCAACACCACCTTCGGTCCGACTCCGGAACATTCCGGGTCCGACCCCAACCTCGACACCTTCCAGATGAGTACACAACACCTATGCTCCCGACTCCGGACCTCCGCTCCGGAATCCTGTTTGCGTCTCCATCTCCGGAACCTCTGGTCTTAGCTCCGACCTCGGACTTTGACCTTATACCCATTGTATTGGTTAGCTCATTCCATTTAATTACCTTTGCCAATATTCCGGAGTTTAACCTCCGAGTTCGGACTTTCCGGACTTACTCCGGACCTTGCAACTATTGCATTGTCCATTTCAATTC